AAAGAAAGTCAGCTTTGTCAGCTGCTGAGGTTTTGAAAACAAACAGCCACATTTCAGTTTATGTGACTCATATGCTTACTATATGTTAAGCATTAAAGTACTGATATACTATATGTATCTTCTCCTAACGTATTGATGAATTCTTTATGAGCCTTATAATAATTATATAATTAATATGGCAATACTCCTAAAATCAAAATACAGCAGTAAATTCATGAATACATATTGCAGCTGGGAGACAGAGATTCTTGGTTCAAATCTTGCTTCTTCTAAGACAGCGGTTCTCAACTTGTGCGTCGCGACCCCATTTGGGGTCGAACGACCATTTCACGGGGGTCGCCAAACAACGCGATCCGCCATTTTTTTTCTCAGCCGGCGCAGGGGGCGGCCCAGGGGGCGGCGCCGTGCATGTGCACCACACAGGGGGTGGCACAGGGGGCGCTGGTGCCGCACAGGGGGTGGCACCGCGCATGCACGCCGCGCAGGGGCAGCACATGGGGCGGCGCGCATGCGCGCCACGCAGGGGGCGCCGCCATGCATGTGCACCACGCAGGGGGCGGTGCAGGGGGCAGCACCACGCATGCGCGCCATGCAGGGGGTGGCGCCACGCATGCGTGCCGCGCAGGGGGCGGCACCACACATGCGTGCCGTGCAGGGGGAGGCGCCACGCATGCGCGCCGCCTGCTTATGACCGGGGTCGCCGGTCTAAAAAGATTGAGAACCACTGTTCTAAGAACTTAAGAGGAGGTTGTGAGTAGGACAAGAACAATGGGTTGAAGCTCATCAAAGAGAGATCCTACCTGTTACTAAGGAGAAATTTCCTGACAGTGAAAACCATTAATCACTGAAACATGTTGCCTACTGGAGTTGTGGGTGCTCCATTCACTGGAAGTTTTAAAGAAAAGATTGGGCAACCATTTGTTCAGGATGATGAAAGGTTTCCTGCCTTGGATAGAAGATTGAACTAGAAACCTCTGAGGTCCCTCCCCATCCTATGATTCTATTCTATCCTCAATAAGATGCATACATGATCTATTTTCTTGTGACTTCATTTTCCTTCGTCAGCGATATGAAAATAATAATTGTTATTTCAGAGATTTTTTAAAAAAAAACAAGCTTTATTAGTTTTTTTCATTTTACAAACAAGTGGTGGCAGGGTAGTCAATTGTCCAAAAAAAAAGTCATACTCATATAGTTCAGATTAAGTCATTAGAAACCCCCTCTCTATTCCCTCTAATAATATATTATATTCAAGTTAATGTATTTCAATACAACTAAGTCAATCAAAACAATCATCAATAACATTTCATCTAAATAAGTCCAAATCTTGTATTAAACTTTACATTTCAATTGCTATATTCCATATTGCTAATATAAATACATAATTAACACTTCAGGTGTCTCTCCATTCCCTTTTTCTTTAACATAATCAATAATCATTTATTAATATCATTTCTTCTTTTTTCTTATTCTTCTTCCATTACAAAATAACTATCATTTCTAATAGCAAAAATATTAGTTCAAACAAGAAAAGAGAAAGAAAACAAAAACAAAAGAAAAAAGAAAAAAATACCTTTCTACTCTATTTATTTATTTATTAAAATTTATAAACTGCCCCACTCCCACAGGACTCCGGGCGGCTAACAATAAAAACACAATATAACTTAACAAGACAAACAATACAGTAACATTCATCCAGGGGTCAGATTTTATAAACCCCAGGCCTGCCGGAAAAGCCAGATCTTAAGCAGCTTGTGGAAAACCAACAGGGTGGGAGCGGTCCTAATCTCCGGGGGGAGCTGGTTCCAAGATGTGGGCACCATCACAGAGAAAGCCCTCCTCCGGGGCCCCCCCAAATGGCACTGCTTGGCCGACGGGACCTGAAGGAGGCCCAGCCTGTGGGATCTAACCGGACGAAGGGAACTATGAGGTAGTAGGCAGTCTCACAATTAGCCTGGCCCTGAGCCATATAGAACTTTAAAGGTAATAACCAACACCTTGAATTGGACCCGGAGACCAATAGGCAACCAGTGCAGCTCACGGAGGATAGGTGTAACGTGGGTGTACCGAGGAACACTCGCTATCACTCGTGCGGCTGCATTCTGGATCAACTGTAGTCTCCGAATACTTTTCAAGGGTAGCCCCATGTAGAGCGTGTTGCAGTAGTCCAGGTGTGAGGTGACAAGGGCATGAGTGACTGTAAGGAGAGCCTCCCGGTCCAGGTAGGGTCGCAACTGGTGCAACAGACGAACTTGTGCAAAGGTCCTCCCAGCCACAGCCGTCAAATGATGTTCCAATTTCAGCTGTGGATCAAGGAAGACACCTAAGTTGCGAACCCGCTCCAAAGGGGGTATATATACTTTATATATACTATTATACTTTATAATCTATCAATCCCTCAATATCTGTGTCAAACTCCTTTAACCCCTCCCAAAATTACTATATCCACAACAAACATGTTAATATATAGACAAGCATCTTCTTATTAAATTCAAATCTTTAATTAATTTTTATTCAATCTAACATCTTATTTAACTGTCTTAAACCATAAATCAATCCATATCTAATAAGCCTTTTAAACCCATTATACGGTATAGAACCTTGAGTCACACTCTCAAATCTTATTCTAGCTTTCTTTTTATGTCAGACAGGTTTCCATAGCAATGCCTCTATATCAATGAACAAGACGCTTTTTGTGCCTTGTATCTTTTGGGTCAAACAAAAGCGTCCCCTTTTCTGTTTTAGAGACCTAGCTCCTTTGTAAATAATCCCTTGTTGTTTTAAAGAGTCAAGTCTCCACATTTGAAACTGTTGAATAACAGACTCAGTTATGTCCAACTTTGTAGTTAATAGTTGCTTATCCAAGCTATCATGGTTCTCGGTTAGTTGAGCTTGTCTATCCATTTCTGTTGGTTTTGGAATTTTAAGTGGTTTAATTACAGTCCTTTTTGGTTCCTCGGAGATCTCATCAGAATGCATATGAAATAAAGTGGAATTTTCTTTAATCATAGTTGGTTCCACTTCTGTTGTTTTTTTGGTCTATAGAATGCTCAGATAGAGGGCATTGGGGGTCAATTTGTAGATTCAAAGCAAAATTTCTGTTTCTTATAACTATAGTGCAATCTTTTATTTGCAAACGTATTTGGTCAGTAGCTTCATAAAGTTTTTCCAGTATGAATTTATAGTCAAGTTGAACATAGGGTTTCTCCATTTCAAAAATAATTAGAAACAGTCTGTATCTTTTAATAGGGGCTGTGTTCCAGGAACATTTAATCAGTATCCACTCCCACAAATACAGCTGTTAAGTTTCTTTGTCTTTTCCCTTTTATGGTAATCTGAAGGTCAATCTCACCATCAGAAAAAGAAACAGTTGAAATTTTGACTTTTTCCACAAAGTGTCTTCAGTAAAATATAAAATCTCCTCCCAGACACCAGGAATAATGTTAACAAGATCAGAAAACACACAAAAAGGGAGAATTCTTCAGATGTAGACTAAGTCCAGTAGTAAATTCAATATTAAAAAAATTTTCCAAGACCCCAAAGTGAATAAAAAAATAAAAATAAAATAAAAAAATCACTTTAAATTAACTCAGTCTATTTAAGCTTCTTTTCCCACACTCATAAACACCGCTTTCTTAGAGCAGGGAAATGATTTCAAAAGTGGTTTTTACAGGCACAAAAGAAAAAGGAGAACCAAAAGAAGGGGGGAAAAGTCTCAACTGGCTCAGCTGCGCTTAGATGTTCTTCTGACTTCTGGTAACAGTGGCAAAGTGAACGGCCATTTTACTTGCCGGTCTTTCCACCCTCGGCCCAAAGGAGCAATCTTGAGCCATGGAAGAAGCTGCTGCTCTCCCACGGACGACGAGGACCTCCTCAACAGTAGCCGCCCTTCCAGGGCAGCTTTTCGACCTGATTAAGGGTCTATCGGCACTGGAGAATCAGCTGGCAAAGAGAGCAGTCTCTTCGCACAGCTGCAAGCGCTGTAATCTGGAACCAGAAGTCGTTATCTCAGAGATTTTAAAACATTACAAATTGATAATTCATTTAAAATGCTCTCAGCAATGGAAAGAACTGTGGAAATGTTGTAACAACAAAAATAACAATATTATGGTAATAATATTGTAATTGTAATAATAAACAGCATGTATGTTACTGCAATCATAAAACTGTCATGTAAAAATTCAAAATTAAAATAAGCATTTATATAAAATCTTTGAAGCTTCTACATTTAGAAATTTCCACATAGCCCCATTTCAGTATTTTATTCAAAGATATTATTATAAATCAAACGAATTAAATTTGTGCAAAATAGGAAGAGTTAAAAGCCAATAAAGAATAATACTACTGCTATTGATCCAAAGTGGTATATTGGTATATTCCTGTATGGGGATTATTATATTACTATAATATTATTATTAAAATCAAACAAATTTAATTTGTGTTAAATAAAAAGAGTTAAAAGCTAATAAAGAACAATACTACTGCTGTTTGATCCAGAGTGGTATATTCCAGTATGGGAATTTGGTAATATGTTCATTGGATAAAGTATTATTTGAACAGCCAAAATCATATTTCCTTGTAAAAAAAAAAGCCTTTATTATAGTCTGTCTCTTTTGTAAAGATGGAATTTGGAAACTTCCAGAAAACACAGAACAAGGAGAATAGGTTGTAAAATAGTTATTCTACAAGCTACAGAGGTAGAATAGCTAGGCAACAATATGTTTCAATAAAATGGGGGAAAAGTTAATAATGAGTGGCAATTTCAGAGTAAGTACTTAATGTGGAAGTATGATTCCCACAGCTGGGATATATTTCTAGGTAAGCATTAATTAGGCCTTGGTTTCCTAGAAGGTAATAAAAACTATATTTGGCAACCCCTTTAAGCAATTCAGCATGCTTTTTATCATAATTCACTTGGTGAAGGTAGAAATTAATGACACTGAAAAAACTCAGAAAAATCAAGATCATAGCACATGTTGCCTTCTTCGTCATATACTTACAGTAAATGGACCAGAAAACTACAGACCAATCAGTTTAATATCAATACTTGGGAAGATCCTAGAAAAGATAATCAAAAAACAGATTTGCAAACAGTTAGAAGCAAACAAAGTTATAACTAGTAGCCAGCACAGGTTTGTTTAAAAAAAGATCATGCCAAACCAATCTTATTTCATTCTTTGATAAAGTGACTAAACTAGCAGACTTGCAAAATGCTGTGGAAGTAGTAAGCTTAAATCTAAGAGAGGCATTTGATAAAGTAGACCACAACCTACTCCTTGGTAAGCTAGAAAAAGGTGGAATAGACAATATCACCACCAGATAGATCTGTAGCTGGCTAGCAAACCATACTCAACGAGTAGTCCTCAATGGCACTACATCCATATGGAGAAAAGTAAGCAGTAACACAAGGCTCTGTCTTAAGTCCAGTACTCTTCAATATCTTCATCAATGACTTAGATGAGGGAATTGAAGATGAACTCATCAAATTTGCAGTTGACGCTAAACTAGCAGGAGTATCCAACTCCCCAGAAGACAAACTCAGAATCCAAAAAGTTCTTGACAAACTTGAACAATGGGCCCTATCCAACAAAATGATGTGGAGAAAAGCAAAGTTTTACATTTAGGCAGGAAAAGCAAAGATACAAGTACAGATTGTACTGGCTTAAAAACAGCAACTGTGAGAGGCACCCTGGAGTCCTCGTGGATGATCACTTGACTATGAGCCAGCAGTGTGCAGCAGCAGCTTAAAAAGCTAATGCAATCCTGGGTTGTATAAACAGAGGCCACTTTATAAAACCTTAGTAAGACCACACCTGTAATACTGCAGCCAATTTTGGTCACAAAAAAGATGTTGAGAGTTTGGAAAAAATTCAGAGAAGAGCAACTAAGATGATCAGGCCTGGAGACTAAAACATACAAAAAACGACGGCAGGACTTGGGTTTGGCTAATCTAAAGAAAAGAAGAAATAGGGGAGACATAATAGCATTGTTCTAGATTTGAGGGGCTGCCACAAAGAAGAGGGAGTCACATTATTCTCCAAAGCACTAGAGGGCAGGACAAGAAACAATGGTTGGAAACTGATCAAAGAGAAAAGCAACCGGGAATTAAGAAGAAACTTCCTGACAGTGAGGACAATTACCCAGTAGAACAGCTTGCCTCCAGAAATTGTGGGTGCTCCATACTGGAGATTTTAAAGAAGAGGCTGGACAGCCACTTGTTTGAGATGGTATAGGTTTTCCTGCTTGAGCAGGGGGCTGGACTAGAAGACCTCCAAGGTCCCTTCCAGCTCTATTCTATTCTATTTTAATCCACAAGCACTGATGAAATAGCAAGTCTAAAAGAATCCAGTCACCCTGGTATCTTTATTTCATGAAACTAAATTTAAGATCACTTAACTGAATTCTGCTAATCCATTCAAGGATCTTTCATTTACGTTTAAGGCTTGCCCTGCGTGCAATTTCTTATAAAATTGCCTTCAATCACAATTTTAACTGCTAAAAGTAAAAACCTTGAGTCATAGCCCATTTCTAATCACTGAACTGGATAATACAGACTTTATGAAGAGAGAAATAAAGTATGAAATAGTAATCTATGTCGTTGTTATTGTTGCTAAATCATGCCCAATTGTCTGTTACCCCGTAAACCACAGCATGGCAGGCCATCCTGTCCCCCACTGTCTCCTTGAGTCTGCCCAAACTCAGGCTCATTGCATCTGTGACATTTTCTAACCATCTCATCCTCTGCCTTTTCCTTTCGCCTTCTATCTTTCCCAACATGAGGGTCTTTTCCAATGATTCCTCTCTTTCCATTTGGTAGCCAAAGTATTTGAGCTTCAGTTTCAATATTTCTCTTTCTAAAGAACGGTCAAGGTTTATTTTCTTTAAATAGCACAATATTGATGTAATTTAATTACCTTGGGTGGAGGTTGGAAATTAGAACAATTTCTACTGAATATGATGGTTTCAGTATATAATAACTGTTTTAAGTTGAAAACACTAGCAATAATAAGATGAGGTAGAAGCAAGAGACTATAATGCAAACATTCTGTAACCACAAGCAAGATAAAACTATAATTTATAAAAGAATGATGTCACCAGGAAAAGTAGAAGAGCTCCAAATTCCTTTTTCCCCATTAAGCATAATACAATTCTGGCAAATTAAAGTATGCAAATAAGAAATTATATAGAGTCAAGGATACAAACCAGTAGAGCCCATCATTGCAAAAAAGAAAAAAGAAAAGAATCTTGCTGGATTTGTCAAATGGTCCATCTTGTTCCGTATCATCTCTTCTGTACAGAATTTTCTTCAGATTTTCTGACTGATGTTTTTTTCCCAGTCCCATCAGGAAAATACAAGGACTAAATCTCCAATATTGTTCACATCTCCATTATTCATTTATTTACTTTATTTGATGCTCATCTCATTTCAAACAACTGTGAGCAGTTTACAGAATAATAAACATTTAAAAGATTTTTAATTTTTTGAAAGTTCAAAAATAGAATTTAAAGCAATCTACACTACCCAGAATTACTTTTGTGAGATGTGTGGTCATATAAATGTGAAAAATAAGCAAATAAATGAAATTCCTCCAGCCACAGAAGAGAAGAACTTGGCTTTTCTGGTGTGTAGAGACTACAAAGCAACAGTAAAGTGAAGAAAATGTCTGTGTTCTCATTTTTTTCCTCTTTGGAATCCTTCATCTTCAGAACATCATGAGAACTCTAATTCTAGCACTTGACCACTGATTGAAATGCATTATCATCTCTGGGAGATAATCTATAATTAAATGCTATTATTCAAATTTAATTTATATCCTCACTCTACCCACTTCTTAGGATGTGGGCCTTAACATATTATTCAAGGAAAAAATGCTGCCCTGGGGTCAAAGAAGCGTACATGCCACTAGTTTAAATCTTCTATTATGCATTATTTCTCTGAAATTTGTAGAGAAATGGCACATAATTCTCCCTCTATCTCTTTAAATGCTTCTGGATTAAATATAGCATACAGGAATACTTTGTATGATGCCATGTGTCCCACACAGAGTAGTAAATATAGCTTTCTCAAATTTAGACAAAATAGATCATCTGTCCTCTTTTTTAAGTCCAGAGAAGCAGAGAATGAGAAAAATCCAAGTCATTAGAGGAGAAAGTAATAAATATTCTACATGATGCAGGAGACAACCCTTATTAGAATTCAGATTCTTTTGTGCCAGATGATCTCTGCACTTTAAAAGACAGAAATTGCCCTTGGAAATATGTAGCAGATTGATACACATTCTGAAGAAATTACAATTGCAGTCACTTTTCCCAATTCAGCAAAGGTGAACAAGATAGCAAGCAATACTTGTACTTAGAAATGGATTTACAAAGACTATTTTCTATACCAATTGATAGTTTTTTAGAAGACAAACCATCATTTTTCCTCTTTAAGCAAGTACTATTCCTTGACGGATAGAGAGTGAAGCTGTCAGCAGATAAGAGACTCCCAAATTGATACTTAGCAACCGACCAAATAACTTCCTGTCCAGAGACAGAAGTAAAAGGGTATTTTTACCAAATAACACAATTAGTCGTAATACAGGGCTACATAGATTTTATGATTGTCAGCCTACTTAAAATTTTTGATTAATCATATTTTTTTAACTAGTTAAAATAAATGTGAATATTACTAAAAATATTATATTGGAAAACAACTTACATGTTGTTAGTACAAAAATTGTTTTAGAATAAGTCTGTGTTATTTTTAATATCTATCATTTTGTGATACTAAATTCCAGATTCAAAAATGAAGAAGTGTGCTTTTAACTTATACTCCTAACAATTAACATTTGATTTTCCTATTTAAAATGTAGAACATAAACATTTTTTATGAAAGATATACAAAAACAGATAAATAATTCCACACTTAACCAAAAACTGTAAATATAAACTCTGCTATTGGGGTACAGTTAGTTAAATCAGTCGGGTCATCTGTGATTTGAAATCCAGTTGATTCTCAGATTTTGCTCTAGTTATCTCTAAAATCACTGCAAACACTGAATTAGTGAATATGAACCATTGTTTCCAGGGGAAATACAGAATGCTTGTTCATGGGAAGAAAACTAAAACAAGAAAATAGAGTGTCATCTTGTTCGACCTTCAGCTGGGAATGTGTGTGTCACCCTACTCAAATTCACCACTTTGTGCATGTCTACAAATATCCATGAAAGCACCATCATGTTGACCTGGGGGTTACATATAAATTTTAATAAGTAAGAAAATTTACAATCTGGGAATAATGAGGATTAACTGTATATTCTTGTTATTTGGTTTCCCCCCAAAAAAGCCCCCCAGACCATAGAATGAAATAGTAAAGCACGTCAAAGATAATAAAGTAAGTATGGGTTATTTAGAGGCTGATATCACATAGATCAGTGGTGTCAAACTGCCAGCCAGTGGGCCAAATCATAGCAAAACCGTGCCTACCCCATTGACGGCAATGGCAAAAAAGTCACAATATGTCACAACACGTCACATGACATTGCAAGTTTGACACCCCTGACATAGATGAACAAACTCTCTAGAAAACTAGCTTTTAAAATACTAAAACCAAAATCAAAGGAAACATCTACTTGCAACACAATCATTAACATTTATGCATTTTAGAAGTCTAATACTTAGTCTAGGGAAGAATTAAAATTAGAAGGTCATGCTTGTCATTGGTTTACATATCAACAGATGAAGGAAAGATTTAAACTAGACAAAAAAAGCCATGGTTTTGAGTTTGCTAAAAATGAATCAGAAATCCTATTATATGGTAGTGATGATCATGTAATTGCCAAGGTCTTCTTCTTCTTGTTGTGCCATATCCGTTATCAGACATTGGCGATCATGTTGGCGATCCTGTTTTTTTTTTTTTTTTTTTTTTATTGAAGATTTTTACATTTTACAAAAACAAATCCCCTTCCCATACCCCCCCCTACCTCAGCCCCCCCCCTTCCCAACCTCCCAAACCCTCCCCTGGACTTCCCAGAGCTGAGTACAGGCTTAATTAAAAAAAAAAACTTAAAACACTT